GTTTAATGCAGAGGCTAGGTCTATATATTAGTCTAAGCTGAACTTGAGGGTAGAAATGTTTTATAAAAGAGAAGAATCTGTAAGGCTTGTTAGCACATAAAAGGAAGGCAGATCACGAGGAGAGATTTGAGGACTTTGCGCACAGTAGCAGATGGATGGAATTTGTTGTTTAGAAAATTGCGAGTAATTTTTGATAGAAAGTCAGTCGGATAGCTATTGTTTAACAGTTGTTTGTGCAGAAGTGTAATTTATCTGTGTAAAATAAGGTCATTCGAGCAAAGATAAAAAATTATATTTAACAGTGACATCACTAGATTACGTTTGAAGAAGTTGGGGATAAGATCATTAAAATCTGTATAAATGCCCATAAAAGAACTATTACAAGAAAGAAAAGTAAAAAAAAATACCTTCTTTGGTAATCCCGATGTCTAAGAAAGGCAAATATTCATTTTCTTCGAGTTCAGATGTGAACTTGATACTAGGGTTTTCGGAATTCAGGTAAGTAAGAAATTTAGAAATGTGACTAGATTCTCGAAACAGCAAGTAAGTGTCATCAATATAGCGTTTGTACAGAACAGGTTTGAATATATGTGGGCAGTTTTCTAGCCAATTGTGTTCATGATAACATAGAAAACTACTGGCTATCATTGGGCCTAGCGAGGATCCCATGGCAATTCCATCTATATTTTCATAAATGATATTACTAAAGAGGAAATGGTTTATCTTCGTAGAAAAGGGAAAGAATTTCCAAATCGTATTTACAGATGCAACCAAGGTACCGCTCATTGACAGAAGGAAAGAAGAGGTCCACGATTAAATGTCAATTTTCATCAGAGGGAATATTAGTATAAGAGATTCAATATCAAAACTGGCTATAACATGCCACTAAAGTCATGAGATGCAACAGCTATAGATTTTTGTGCGATTAGAAAGTTGAAATGGGCGCTGAGATACCGTCATTCTCTTATATTACATGTATTATGGAAAACATTCATGGAGGAATGGTGTGCTCTGGAGATAACAGCCTTAGGACAGACCTTTTTGCAATATAAACTATGCTGAAAGGCTTTTATCAAGATGCAAGATCGCCAGCTAGAGCATGGACAGACATAGACTGTAACAATGTGGTGAGACTCAAAATTCGTTTTAATACAACGTTCTCAGTCTTTGGGAAAAGACCCCTTTTTTGAGTTAAAGTAACAATGTAACAATGTGGTGAGACTCAAAATTCGTTTAAATACAACGTTCTCTGTCTTTGGGAAAAGACCCCTTTTTTGAGTTAAAGTAACAATGTAACAATGTGGTGAGACTCAAAATTCGTTTTAATACAACGTTCTCTGTCTTTGGGAAAAGACCCCTTTTTTGAGTTAAAGTTAAAACATTAAAGTTTAGAAAGGTACATCCTTACTACTTCCATGCCATTGGCCGATGAAATATTCAAATGCCACACTGCAATCATTATAGCGTTCTCAAAAATTATTCTGTAAAAGCTGTGATTATCTGCCTCAAAGATATTATATGATTGTTAGCTTTTTCCAAAACAATGATTTTATTTATATATATAGCTTAACAAGTTTACAGCATTATCTTGATGAGATAAGACATTAAATATGTTAACTATGTAAAATTATCATCAATACTTAATATTGCCAATAAATATCAATAGCGTAGTTTCCGTTTTTCCTGTGTTCTAATACTATGCATTCGTGTTTGCTAAACAAGAAAGATGTAGATATTCATACATATTTATATCTTCAAAAAGTATTTATATTATAAACTTCGTGCGTTGATAACTGATATGTGAGAATTATTCAGGTGTTTATGCATCTTTATATATTAAAACAATTCATATTACAAATTTCATGTATCTAAGTTTGTTTTCTCTGAACTCTGCATACGACTACATCGGGGAATGTAAAATAGAAGACAATCCCAAGACCAAAACTGAGCTGTACAAATATTGTGAGACTTTACTGGGGTTACTGCCAGAAATGTCGTTAATAGCAAGTGTACCTAGAAGATGACTCGATGCATTCTAATCATTATAGATTTTTGTTTTCTGGATTTATAAAATTAAGCACTTCTAGTTAGTTTTTATATAAACTAGTATAAAAGCCCGTCAAAAATGACGGGAACCATTGTTGAATGATTAACGAAAATTATATAATTTAACTGATACGAATTTGTCTGTACCTCCAAAATGCACCTACTCTTCACATATTTCATCACTCTCGAAGCTATTCTTTAATCACCACATTTTTAGTAAAACCTACGCAGAAAAATGAAGTGCTATCGTAAACAAAAGTATGTGTGCTCTCTGAAAGAGACTTAAATAGCACTTTTCACAGTATTCTAGGTCAGGAAGTAGAAAACACAGTGCGCACATTCCGAAACAAATTTTCAACTTTTTCGACTGTACACAGAATAAAAAATATTTGGTAGTAATAAACATTTATTTTTTAAGGCCAAGTAGAGAATATGTGTGTTAAAATACCAAACGAATATTTATTAATTAACACTTATTAACCACTTAAAACTTTTAAACACCGACACAAATTTTTAACTCTTTTGACTGTACAAAGCATAAGAGATATTTGGTAGTAATGAACATTTATTTTTCTTTATATTTTAAGGCCATGTAGGTAATATGTGTGTTAAAACACCAAAAATAATATTTGTTAATTAACATTTATTCCCCACTTAACACCTTTTAAACACTGACTCTATAACGTTAGTAATACTATGACTATTGGTTTTGTAATTAGGCCTATAATACATAAACGTAACATAAGGCTTAACTGAAACACTACTTGGTAAATTTTATAATGCTTTTGGCTACAACTCAATGTCATAAAACTTCTGAATTAAACTATTTTGCTGTTATATCAGCGAAGTTATCAAAATATAAAGAATAAACAAACCAAACCTTTCTAACGAATCAACGTGAATATTGAGCATTCAACTTAAACACCATAGTTGGCCTATTACCTAGTATTACCAGAAAAGGAGCGTGAAAGCGTTCTCGACAGAGTGACAAAGGGAATGAGACTTTTATAGCTAGTGATAGCTTCACTAATTAACTTATAAGTTACCTTTCGTTGTTGTTTTACCGCAAAGCTATACAGTGTGCTATCCAACGTGGGGAATCGAACCTTGTATTTTAGTTACAAATCCGAAAACCTACCGCTGCCCCCCCCCCTCCTCACCCCAGGGACAATTACTTTTTAGTTATGATATATAGGTAACTTCTGAGCAGAAGCTCTTAGTAACTAATTTAGTAAAATAGGTTTTCACTTTTAATTTCTCACAAAAGAGACTGTCAATATACTCAGAATATCACTGCATTGTTATGTTATATTCAAATAATAAAAACACTAAAGAATGAACGTCGTATGACTTTCTTGAATATTCATTTAAATTTACTCCTCGGAACTGTTATATCTGTTTTACTCACTGATCTCTTGATCAAAATGTAATTCTTGGACGGTTATTTATTCTTACTGGAAACTCAACATAATTAAGCAACTACAGTTTCATTATTTATTGCATTTCTAACCACATTTCACTGTAAAAGAATTTAGTAACCCTATTGTACTACAAACGTTGTGATCTGCGTTAAACTTTCCTTTTAGTAGTAACTCTATCTACAACGTTTCTACTCATATTTATCAAACTAAAAGAGTATATTATCACTTTAAATTCAGAGTTTTTCTCGAGCTATGACTTTCCGCATAAACAACATGGGGCTTGGCAATGTTAAAATAATAATTTCTTTTCAGGCACATTGTGCTATTATATTAAAAATTAAAATGCACAAAAAACGATGTTTTTTGGTACAATGAAAGGTAAAATTTTTATTATTATATATAGCCGACTAATTACCGAAACTAGTCAGCTGTAGCTAATAATAACGATTTTACATTTCATTGTGCCAAAACATCGGTTTTTGTGGATTTTTTTCACCCTTAATAAGTTAACTCATATTTCGGAACGGCATTATTAGCAGTTAGTCAGATTTTAGTACAATATTACTGTTTGAGTTAAACCAGATTTCAGGGTAAAATTATTAGTTAAGTTAACCCAGATTTCAAAACCACATTATTATTTGAAAGTGGTTAGTTTTCAGGACAGAATTAATGGTTGCTCTTAACAATTGTAATCGAAGGCCTAGAACGTCTAGTAAAATTAAATATTTGCAGGTGCATAACACAAATAATAATGTTACATAGCATCATCTAGAAGATAGTCTTTTACGGTGTGTTAAAGTTGAGCAACTTGAGATAAGATGAGTATCAAAAATGTAAATTTGAATTGTTGTCTCTTAGTTTTTAAGACAATTCGTATTATTCCTAGTATAGCCGCTTTTAAGCAAGTTTTAATCATATTCATTATTTTTTAATGCATTAATTTATTATTACTAAAGAAGATATTGCGTTTTATTATCATTTACGTATGAATAACTGAAGACTATTGTCACTTTACTTTGTGCTGTTACGTGGTGGGAAAGCGGTGAATTTACGAACTTGCAACGCTAAAAACCGGAGTTCGATTCCCCGCAGTGGACACAGCAGATGCCCCAATGTGGCTTTGCTGCAAAATAAACAAACAATAGTTTGTGCAAATGTTTTTGTTGCAAAACACAATTGATTTTAAGATATCAAATATAAGTAGTTTTAAATCATACTAGCTAAATCTCTCTACACTTTGATTTTACGGAATAATCCAATAACCTTAGTAACGTCTGCTAACAATCTAATATGTGTAAATAGAAATATATATTCTATATTCATTATATGTACATCATTGTATACAGTAAAAATATAATATTTTAAAACCACCAAAATGGTATATATTCATTGTTATCTTTTTTAACATCCTACGTTTCAACCATGTGGAAATCTGTCATATTTATCACAAGTGACATCTATTCAGACTCTACATACACACAGTGGTTATATGTATCAGCCACTATACCTAAAACATTTTAATTGTTACCTTACCTCATCTGTCAAGGAATTTTTTCTACATCTTCTCGGCAAGGATGAGTAATCAGATGAGACAGAAGAAAAGCCGGTGTCGGTGGAGTTACCTGAAAAGTCGGCCCTCGGCCTGGGCCAAGAGCGAATAGAAGAGAAGTGAAAGTTTCTTACTGGTTGACCGTTTTCATCAATGCTGGAGGAACTGTGATTGCTAATCTCCCCAGGTGAACTCGCGCGATTCCGCATTTTTAGATGTGACATAGAAGTGCTAAGATCGGTAATGCTGCTGCCTCGCGAGGGACGACTGGAGTAACCGCTGTCCGAGCAGTAGTCCGTATTCAGTTCATAGCATTTACCTAGCGCAGTAGTCAAATGGTCGTTGCTTCTCTTAGACATAAGAGACCGGACTGGTGAGCTACGTGCGGAAGAGCTAACAGAAACATTGAAACTAGCCGGTGTCCGGCGGATATCCAGAGTTCTATTGTAGAATTCCAAGTGCCCAGAACTAAATTTCATAGGTCGTGGTGGACGAGAAGACAGAGTAGCACTATAACCGGAGATACTGGAATTCGACGACGTGGTGTAGGGAAAAATATAAGAAGAATAAGAAGAATTCCTAGTATGGGTTCTGTCTAAACTGCCAGAACGGTAGTAAGAAGTAGAAGGAGAATACGAGCTCCCAGCAGAAACACTCCGTCGAAGAGTTGAAAAGGCAGGAACAGGCATACTGTTTGTGTGTCGAGCTATAAAGAGGCGAATTCAATCAGAAGTTAATTAAAAACTTCAACTCTGCAAGATTTTCAGCTTCTGAAGAGTAATATGTTTAGGCCACATGTTCTTATCAGTAAAGTAAAAATGTGGAAAATAAAGGCTAGATCACATGAAAACCTTTTCTAAAGTATAAACTTTTTCTAACAGTACTGAGAAAAATTCTTGAAATACACTACGATAATCGCCCCTTTAGCTTTTTTTATTATTATTGCTGTATATTTTTCACTTCCTTGTTCAAGGCACTCTGCTTTCTTTGGTACGCACGCCACATACTACGAACTAATCTAAATTTTCAGGCCACTACAGAGGTGGTGGTCTAGTTGGATCACGTGCTCTCGAGGCTAACGAATCAATGCACGAGGTAGAGGTATTACTGCTGAATAAACCTAAGACGGTGAGTCCGGGAGGAAGGGTGAAGCGGAAGATGGATAAGGTTTCGTCAAAAAGAGTAGAAACGAATTTTAGAAAGAAATGAAGAACAAAAATAGGTTGACTGATTTTGATAGCTCTAAACATTAAATATATGAAATAATAAATCCTAAAATCACACGACTTAAGTTAATGAAGTGAGAGAAATCTAGTTTTCATATACTATATTTTTTAATTCGTATTTTCCATCAACAATGAAAATACGTTACATCAGACTGGTATATTTAATTAACACTTATTTCAGCCATCTAAGCCATCCATCGACCTATATTCCAACACTTTCTTTACGAAAACTAAAACGATAAACGAGGTCTAGTGGTTAGTGTGCGGGATATGGATCCAAAGGTCCATGGTTCGTGTCCTGTGACCAGTTACTTTAGGGCCTTGAGTGGGTTATAAATGTAACTGTCAATACTTTTTATTCGATTAAAGTATCCCAAGAGATGACAAAGGTTACTGTTGACTAGTTGCTTTCCCCCTAATCTATCACTTCAAAATTGTGGACAGATTGCTTGATAAACCTTGTGTAGCCTTGCGCGAATATACGAAACAAACAACAAAACCTGGTATTTCATTACAAAAATTATTAATTCTGTCTAAATCACACGTGCATTTAGAGTTCAAAGTTCATAGTCATTATATTTGATAGTCAAATTTTCAAAATCAGTTCTAAATCCAGAGCTAACTCAAGATCTTTATATTTTGAGCGATTGAGTCATCTCTTATATCATTTATTATTATCAATTATAGTTAAAAGAGCTCAAACGTTAAATCTCTTCATTATTTGAATTAATTGCATAAATAATCATATGAGATAGTTTTCACTTTTTGTGTACCCCTTTCAACAATTCGTTATACTATAGCACTTTCGGAAGGTATACTTTTCCGCCAGGAATGAATTTGAAACTATTAAGAAAAGTGAAGCGCGAAAGTTAGTGAAATGGTCTTCAGTGACGTCATAATAATTATAGCAGATCATTATGACAACATGAAAGTGATAATAGGCAGATAAACAATGCTATATAAGCATAACATGTAGTATGTTCCACCATCAATAAAACTCTTCCTTATGCTTATTAATCGTTGTTTGCCTGCGTACTACTATATTAGCATAATGTGCTTTCTTACTCAAGTAATATTAAAGTGTTTAGTCTGTCATTCATTTGTTATTGTAAGCAAGTAATTAGGGCCTCACTTCAGACGCGCATGCTGATCTTATCAGGGGGAAGTGGTAGAGACGATGATGTCATAGTACCACACACCAGAAGACACTGCTATATTAGGGAGGGGTAATATCATAGTTCAGTATCAGAGGGCCTGTTACTATAAGGGGATTATGTTACTAAGGTTTAAAGATGGATGTTGTTATTAAAGTTCTATAGGCGGATAGCATTATCAAAGTTCTGGAACACTGTTACTATATGTGGATGATGTTACTAAGGTTTCTATAAGGAATACTGGGTAGATTATGCATGTTTCACAAAGGCGGATAGTCTTTTTTGATGTGTCTTAATATGTGATCAATGGTTAGATTTAATTATGATCAAAAAGCAATACAGTCACTTTATGTATAAAACACTAAACTAATTCATTAATTCTATATTTAATCATACTTTTATATCGTCCTAAAAAGGACACTTATTTAACATGCAAAATTACGAAAATCTTACTGTTTCACCAGCTTGGCTTTATGCTAGCCATATAACTATGATTTGTATTGTTCTTGACAAAATATTTCATTTTACGCATCTTGCTTTATAGTTTTAACTTGAATACATTTTTCAAAGGCAGACTGTATTTCGATAAGGCAGATGATGCTACTAAGCAGATTGTGTTACCATAGAATTTTACTATAATTTATCAAACTTAGTAACTAAGCTGTATTTGGACCTAAAAAATATTAAATTTCGAGCAGACTAAAGACACAACCTACCTCATTAAAATCTTGGTTTAAAAGAAAGAAATGGTGAGAAAACCCCTAGAGGAACATTCTGAGCTTCCAATTAGTTATTCATGTCATATATAGAAGTAAGTGTATATAGGTGATTGTTTCCAAAAATGGAAGGAGGTGAGCGAGGTGCCACTATGTTTGATTTATTACATGAGCAATATCTTAGCAAATAGAAAAGATAAGACCTTCTTATTTCATATTCTAGCTTGCCGATATCTGTAATTTGAGTTTCTAATTCGTATGAAACTATAGACTTAGTATTTTGACTTCCCAAACATCTAATTTGAACCAGTGCTGCATTCAACATACCACGTGACACATAAAAATCGATGTTTATCTGTTGTTTTTTATATTTTCTTTTAAATTAACAAATTGAGTGGTATATAGTTCTAAAATTTGAATTATGATCTACAATTTGATATCCATCTTATTGACATAAATTCATGAAATAGTAGTTCAACAAAATTTTGAATGCGAGTCAACAAATGAGATGATATGGCCTTTCTTCTGTGACCCGTCTCAAATGGGTTAAATGAACTACTTAGTGTTTAACTTTACTACTATTTAAAAATAGCAACATATACCATTTACTTGATGTTCTATACATAAAACTTTGAGATAAACCTTTGTCTCACTTCAAAACTGCTGTTTGTTACGAAATACAAAGGTCGTCACGTGGTCATGTATTACTGATGACAATATTAGAAAATTTAACCTATTGTTTGTTTAAAACCAAGTAAGCTTTCATTTCTACAAACCAGAAATTATATTTCCATATCTTTCAAACTTCACTTAAACTTATTAGTTTTCCAAATACACAAATGAAATAACCGTAAAAGGACCTTTAATTATAAATCAAGTGACTGTTCCAATGATTTTGAAACAATGTTTCGGTAACATGAATTATACAATTCAGTGTTCTTGTATAAAACTCATATTTCATCATAGTCCAATATGCTATCATGTAAATAAAATTAACATGTACCACATATACTTAACAAAACTTCAAGTACTATATGCATCATAGTTTATAATTTTATTGGATTAGCTTTCATATAGATTACGTTCATTCCAAAAAAGTATCCGAGATTTTATACAGTTTATAAACAACAGTGAACAATCAGCAAAAAGTTCAGTTTAATTATCTTATGTTATAATTTCCAAAGACTCAAATATAATTAATGGTTACGAAACAATGCTACAACATGTAACACCTAATATTCAGTATATATCAGAATATATATAATATTCCTATATATCAGACGAAATATTGCAAAGTAATAGAACAAGTCAAGGTTGTTGACAGGCATATGACAAAGATCAGTTCTGAGTTGACCAATTCTATTATAGTACATTATCGCTATCAATGTATTTACATTATACTTAATACATATGGTACAAACTCTACATAGTCGTATTGTTACGTCTGTGTTCGTTTGTTAATTTTCCGTAGAAATTCTTTCCGAAGAAACTTCTGCGATACAAGTCCTTTCTTAAATAAAACTACTTTATTCTTTCTCAATTTAACTTTGCAATACACTTAATTTCCACAGTCACGTTAACTTAAACACACGCTATAATTCACAACGATTCACGCACTTTACTTACGGTGCCCGCTTGACTCGATTATCTGTGTCTATATCTTCAATCTCTCTAGCTGCCACTATATTCTTGCCGTCACTTTATTTGCCGGCTTATATACTATAAAAGCGTACATCTCGTCTCTTCGTGAATCTTCTAGGTACTCATCACGTGTTACTAGCGTCACGTGACTTCCGCTGTCGTTACAGTATATTTTCTACATAAATGTAATGTTCACCATACTTTAACTAGAGCATATTTCCCTTATTATAAGAGCTTGACTGTAGGTAATGGCAAGCTTTTCTGGTAGATTTTAATAATAACAATAATATTAATAATAACAGACAGTTACCACCTAACTCAGATGAAACAGACTACAGAAAACACACCAAGGATCTAAAGCAAATCATGTTACAAAGAATATATAAAGATACCGAAATCGACAGACAGATTGAAAAAGCTAACAACACTCAGTGGAAAATATCCTAAAACAGAACAATACTAAAGTTTCAAATAGATTTCCTCTTATTATTACCTATCACTTTAAACTCAAACATTTCACGAATTGTGAAAAAAAACAAAAACATTTTCAACTCCTTCAACTTAATGATCGCCTCAAACAGATATTTCCTGAAGTTCTCGGTGTCTCCTTCAGAAAAAGCAGAACTTTAATAGATATCCTTGTTCATACAAAAGTGAATTACATCCCACCAAAAAATGGTTGTCATCCATGCAATAAAGCTCGTTGTCTAACTTGCAAGTTCATAGAACTACTGACTCATTTTATGACAAAGCACAACCAAAGAAACTTTAAAATTTCCAAAGAAATCACTTGTGGAACACAAAACATCATTTATCTTATACAGTGTAAAAAATTCAGTCACCAATATGTAGGACATACACAAACAACTCTTACAGAACGTTTCAACAACTATAAATCTTCTATTAACCAACTGTTCATTCTGTTAACAATACTACTCTCATCGGCATTGAAAAAGGATTGAAAACGAAAGCTGATAGAGAGATAAAAGAAGCTTATTGGATCGCTAATCTAAACACTGTTCGACCTTTTGGAATCAATCTAGATCCTGGAATCAGTGATCATCGATTATTGGTTTAATCTCTGACGGAAAAATAATTTTTGTTGTTTGCTTATTTCTTTCATGTAGTTTGAACCCTAATTTTTCTAAAACTCACTATTTATTTAAGATAGTTTTCCGTACCTGTTTGTA